TTTGTTGTTGTTTGGAAATGCATTCCAATGGTTGGCGTATAACTTTTTAAATCTTTAAAATTGGACACATTGCATGTTTTATTTTTGGACATAGAAACGGTGCCGCAAAAACAATTCTGGGGTGATTTGGATGAGCGAACCCAATATTTATGGTCGCAAAAAATGCGGTTTCAAATTAAAGACGAAATGACCGCCGAGGATTTGTATGTTCAAAAAGCAGGAATCTTGGCCGAGTTTAATAAAATCATTTGCATCAGCTGTGGATACATTAATGGAAATGAATTTAAAGTGAAAAGTTTCTATGGAGACGATGAAAAAGAAATTTTAATGGATTTTATTCAATTATTGGAAAAGAGTTACCATCAACCGTATCATTTATTGTGTGCGCATAATGGCAAAGAATTCGATTTTCCAGTATTGGCCCGCAGAATGTTAATCAATGGAATGCTGCCTCCCAGCATATTGAATGTGGCGGGTAAAAAACCATGGGAGGTACGCCATTTGGACACCATGGAAATGTGGAAATTTGGGGATTATAAATCGTATACCAGTTTGGACTTATTGGCCCATGTGATGGGGATTCCATCTCCAAAATCTGATATAGAAGGGCATCAGGTGGCTCAGGTGTACTATCAAGACCACGATTTGGAAAGGATAAGGGTTTATTGCGAAAAAGACACGTTGACCGTGGCCCAACTTTTTCGTAAATTTAGAGGCGAACAACTATTGATGACGGAATGAATGCAACAGAGGTTCTTTTAGAGGTTAAGGATTTTTCGGTGCGGTTTGGCGACGCATGGGTGGTAAAAGCCGTCAATTTTAAATTGTACAAAGGCCAAACACTGGGTGTGGTGGGAGAATCGGGCAGTGGTAAATCGGTGACGGCCATGGCCATTATGGGTTTGTTGCCCAAGCAGGCGCATTTGACCGGTGAAATATGGTGGCATGGATCCGCCAATCCGATAAACATTTTGGTTCAAAATCAATCGGCCATGCGCGATTTAAGAAGACAGGGGCTGGGCATGATATTCCAAGAGCCCATGACGGCCCTGAATCCCAGCATGCGGTGTGGCGATCAATTGTTGGAAGCCATCGATCAATCGTCCAACGCCCATGAATGGGTAATGCAATGGTTGGAAAATGTCCGCTTACCCGAACCCCAAAGAATATTTAAAGCCTATCCCCATGAATTATCGGGAGGGCAGCGTCAACGGGTGATGATTGCCATGGCCATGATGAAAAGTCCGTTGTTGTTGATTGCCGATGAACCCACCACGGCATTGGACGTTCATGTTCAAAAAGAAATATTGGATTTGATTCAAGATCTTCAAAAAAACCATCAAACCAGCGTATTGTTTATATCGCATGATTTGGGGGTTATTCGACAGATGTCCAAGGCGGTGATGGTGATGTATAGAGGTGGGGTCATGGAGATGGATTTGGTGGATAAGGTGTTTGCTTCGCCTCAACATCCATACACCAAAAATTTGATAGCCTGCAAGCCCCGTTTGGGAAAACGCCCCAAGCATTTGCCCACCATTGCCGATTTTGAAAAGCATCCCGATTTTGTGCCCAATTTTGAGACCACCCAAGAACGGGACAATAGACTATCGGTCTTA